TATTTGCCGCCATGACGTCGTATCCATTCGGTGTGATTCGCCCCGACCCGGATATAGAGAGACCACACCAGTATAGTTTGGTTGAACCCGTCAAGAAGGTGTGCATTGACACCTTATATTTTGGTTACCCTTCTTTATTCTGTTAAACCTTGTTAGTTATATCCTAAATTAAGTGTTTCAAGTATTATAAATAAACAAGTTGCGGTTCGTGGAGCCTGGTGTTTTATTTATTGTGGTATAACAGGGGTTGCGATTGACCCAAGGAATTAGTCGAGAAAGTTAGCGACTAAAATACATGTTTTATGCTCCTTTAACTTTTACAATATTGTTGCAAACTTACTTTATATACCCTTCTTCAAATACAGCCTTCCTTCTTATACGATGGTTCAAAGTGCGAACTTCATCACGGAGGTAAACCTCTAACACCCACAGATTCGCCACTTGTGTATACAACGATACTATTGCACCGCTATTCGCTACATACCGACAGCCCCCACACATTGGTAGATATCGAAGGTTATTCCAGTCGCAGTACAATATGTAAGCAGAACATGTTTTGGAGTTAATTTTGCATTGAAATAGTGTGCGGGCTACGCTCAACTCTTTCATCCGGCTGACGTCACATGTATCTCGTTGCTTTATTTTCACTATACTGGTGTCTGTCTATGTAATTTCCTCGATGTAACACGACATTACGATGTGTTTTATCCAATAACTCCATATGTTTCACATTATTCCAGTATTGTATTACAGCTATACCACCACACACTTCATGGATACAGCTGCTGCTTCTTACATCCATTCTCACACACCAACCCTTACGACACTTCTTCCTTTTAAGCACAGCACTCCTTAGAATTTCCATTTAAACCTTGTTCCACTCAACCAGCTTCTTCAACAACATAGTCAATGACTAGTCGTCATTTTTTCTTCCCTGAATACTTTTTTAGAACAAGCCAGACCGGGCTACTGTAGGGTGAAATTGAAGGTCTAATAATTTTACTGTCTAAAAGTTTTTGAATCTGAATTTGAATTTCCTGCTTTAAATGATAAGGATAATGATACGATTTACAATATATTCGGTCTTCATCTACTGTCCTAATTTTGTGCTTTATAGTGTTTGTAAAAAAATATGAATTTTCATTAAAAAAAAAAACGTTTTTGTATTTATTGCAATTAGTAATTATTTCTGTTTTTTTCTTCAAGATTTAAATGGTCTGTCCTAATTACCTTTTTAATATCTAAGTCTATCGTGGTTTTTTAAATTCTACATTTACGAGGGGCGTTACATTTATTACATTTATAGGAAGATGAAAGTTAATTTCGATATGTTAATCGTCGGGAAAAGGTATTTTACAAAAGCTGTTACGTGATTCTGCGATTGACTCAAAAATACAAAACTTATCTGTTCGAGTTTCGGGAATTAATACAGGACCTTCAGAAATATTAACAGGAATGTAAAAAAAAATTTTGCTGTTTGTCTAAAAGGCTTAAATTTTTGTGAATTTAGTTCTGTAAAAAATGGTATATTATGGTATATATTCGGAGCTTTTATCTGAAAGTTTTCAAATTTTCCCTCTACATCTAAGTTCGGTTCATGTTCCTTTTCATAACTATCTTCTACGGGATGT